GGGCAGCCAGTGGGGAGCTGAGAGCAGGTGGGGCAGCAATCAGGGTGCTGGGGGAGAGAGCATGGGGTCCCCTCCCTTCTTCAACCCCCTCTACCCCCTAACTTACCTGGCACAGAGCCCAGATCCCAGTCGCTGCAGCCTGCACCGCTGCTTGCCCTGCACAGGCAGGCAGCGTGCTTCAGCACTGGGCAAGGACCAGCCATAGAGACATGTCTTTGTGGAGGACTCAAGCCTCCAGTTGTCTCAGGGCATGGTCTGGAACCGTGCCTTGCTTTGCCTCACTGTTTTGCAGTGTGTTTTTTTTTTGACCCCTGGATATCCAGGGGTCTAATTTTGCCCAAACGGGCAAAGGGGCAAACCTCAAGGGGTTTGAGACTCTGCAAGAAGCACATGTGCACTCATCTGGACGTACCCTGTGAGGTCCTGGAAGATATATATTCTTAGTGGGTCTTGTGGAGCTTGTAGAGACTCCCCTGACAGAATTTGAAAGCTTGCTCTTGCTAAGCCCCACAAAAACTTAGGAACTCTACATAACTTCTCATGGAGCTCAATAAACAGCTATGGTCTAAATAACTTTGAAAGTTCATAGGTTTAATGGTTGAGACTTTAAAGCTTCATTACAACCTTTGGTATTTAAAAGCTCTGCAAATGAAGCTAGCTTCTAAATTCTGTAACTCAAAAAGCTTCTGTTCAAGGAATGTGCAACTCTTCTATGAAACTAATAAAGCTTTGCGGACTCTGTGAATAAAACAGCTGTCTTTCCATAATTGGTGCAGATTTTTTTTTTTTAATATAATACAGAAATTCTGCAGATGAGCAAGCACTAGATTGTATCAATGACTCTTTCCCCCCCTCCAACTTCAGGTCCTGCATTCATAATCAGCACGGAACAGAAGTGCATTTTTATTCACTGCTTGCCATCATACTTGACTTACAATTTCAAAAGAAAAAAAGTAAATGAGGGAAACAATCTTAATTTTGTGATCCTGTTTTCCTGACCACTCCACCTATATCCCTGAAGACACCCCTACATAGCATACCTTTTCTACATACCCTTAAAGCATCCGTACTCAAAATTGTAACAAGGCCACAGCTCTGCATGGAGAGTTTTGGCTGCTGTGCTGCCAGCAACAGTGACATGGTTAGCTGCAAACAGTAGCTATTCTGCCCCCCTGGCATCCTACCAAAGAAGATGGAATCTGGGACTGCTGCCCTGCTCATCCCCTCACTTAAGCTACTGTCCATACTCTTACATTTGAGCCATCTGCCTGACCAACCTGATTGCCTTCTATGATGAAATGACAGGCTCTGTGGATCTGGGGAGATCAGTGGATATGATATACCTGAATTTTAGCAAGAGTTTTGATATGGTCTCCCACAACACTCTTGCAGGCAAACTAAGGAAGTACAGGATGGATTAATGGACTGTAAGGTGGATAGAAAACTGGCTGAAGCATCAGGCTCAGAAGGTAATAATCAATGGCTAAATGTCTAGTTGGCAGCCAGTATCAAGTGGAATGCCCCATGGGTTGGTCCTGGGGCCAGTTTTGTTCCATGTCTTCATCATTGACCTGGAAGATGGCATAGACTGCACCCTCAGCAAGTCTGCAGATGACATCAAGCTCGGGGAGTAGTAGATATGGTGGAGGGTAGGGCTAGGATTCAGTATGACCTAGACAAATTGGAAGATTGGCTCAAAAGGAATCTCATGAGGTTCAACAAGGACAAGTGGAAAGTCCTGTTCTTAGGATAGAACAATCCCATGCACCAGTACAGGCTGGGGGCTGACTGGCTGGGCAGCAGCTCTGCAGAAAAGGACCCGGGGGTTACAGTGGACAATAAGCTGAATAAAAGCCAGCAGTGTGCCCTTGTTGTCAAGAAGGCTAATGGCATACTGAACTGCATTGGTACAAGTGTTGCCAGCAGGTCCAGGGAAGTGATTATTCCCCTCTATTCAGCACTTGTGAGGCCACATCTGGAGTACTGTGTTCAGTTTTAGGTCCCCCACTACAGAAAGGATGTGGACAAGTTGGACAGAATCCAGTGGAGGGCAACAAAAATGGTTCCTGAGCTGGAAGAAATAACTTCTGAGGAGAGGCTGAGGGAACTGGGCTTATTTAGTCTAGAGAAGAGAAGACTGAGAAGGGATTTAATAGCAGCCTTCAACTACCTGAAGGGAGGTTCAAAAAAGGATGGAGCTAGACGGTTTTCAGTTGTGGCAGATGACAGAAAAAGGAGCAACAATCTCAGGTTGCAGCAAGGGGAGTTTAGGTTAGATATTTTCTCACTAGGAGGGTAGTAAAACACTGGAACAGGTTACCCAGAGAGGTGGTGAAATACCTGTCCCAGGATGTTTTTAAGACGTGGCTAGATACTTTTTTGGCTGCTATGGTCTAGTTGGGGATGGTCCTGCTTTGAGCAAGAGGTTGGACTAGATGATCTCCTGAGGTCCTTTACACCTCTCATTTTCTGTGATTCTATGATCTGACCGGTGGTACCTCCCATTCAATCCTCCCATTATAATATAAATGTCAAACTAATTCAAAGTCTATTCACGATACAAACAGTGGTCTATTCCATCATCTGAAGGAGAGACTAACCACAATCCTGCATGATCTCTATTTTATCTTACTTTTTATCTCTTTAAAAAGAAACTATAATAGTTATTAGAGAGTTGTTTCATGAAGTTTGTATAGTGCAACATGGCATGGGAGCACAGTAGGTCTTTCTTTAATATAATCTAATATTTAATATAATAATATTTAATATAGCTCATTTTATGATTATTACATGTATAGATGATTTACATTTCGATATTCTAATGAAGCTCATTTTGTTTCCAACTTTCCTACTGTTTTTATTTGGGTCCTGAAAACTCACCTATGTTTTTGGGTATTTCTGTATCTTTGCCTAACTTTTTCTGTCTAACTGACACCTTATAAAGCAGGTGCCTGTGGAGAATTATAGGCACTCCCCATCCAGCCCACAGGGCAAAAAAGTTGAGCACCACTGGTCTAGTACAATGGTACTCAATCTTTCAGTCCTCTGGGGTGGATGAGTGGTGTTGGGCTGGTTAAAAGGCTGGATCCCATGTACAGCTGGTATGCAGGTGCAATCCTGTGTACCTGCCTGATTCTGCATGCCAGAGCCAGTGCTAGTTCAACCAGCCTGCCAGAGCCATGCCAGAGCCAGTGCTGATTCAACCTTGTGTGCTGGATCCACCCATGGAGCGACCCTGAGCATTGACTCAACTGTGGATCAGTGATCTAGTGTTCAGGGCTATATAATCCAGTGTGGGGTGCTCCCCACAGGTCTGAAAATTTGACAGTACTGCTGTCACCACTTCACCACCATCAAACTTCTAGACCCATGTGGAGCACTGTGGACCAGGTTATATGGCTCTGTGGGATGTATGTGGCCCACAGGCCAGAGGTTGAGTACTACAGCTTTAGTACAATTGTGTTTGCAGATCTGGTTGGAAGGGCATTACCAGATCTGAACCACCAACCCACAAAGATATGTATCAAACAATTTGTATGCTGTGGGCCTATGTTTATACATTCCTTTCCATAGATGGATCTAGGATTTTGTTCTCATGTCATTGCAGCAGCTGTGACTGATGTCACAGAGGTGGCTGTAAATGTATCAGCTTTCAGCACCGCCCTTCCTCCCCAACCTTGATCTGTGCCACAGCTGCCTCCAGATTGAGCTGCTCCACCGGGTGCTACATGATGCTCAGGCTGCAGTTGGAAAAAATGCTGGCAGCTCCATTTTCCTGCAGCCCCAGAAGCCTGCATCCCCTGTGGAATCCAGGGAGCAGAAACTGAGATCAGACCCTGGGAGAGATGGGGACTAGGCATGGCTGGAGCAGCTGGGCTGGCCAAGTATGGTAGAGGGGACTAGGCAGAGAACAGGTTCAGAGATAGAAGACCTATCCACCACCACTGCACCAGCTGACTTGGCAGTGAGGAAGTCCCTGGGCTAATCCTGCCTTGCTCCATCCAGGGGGTGTGTGGAGTGGCTGCAGTGGTTGGTTGAGGACAGTGGCAACAGCAAGCTTCACCTTCCTGCACCCATTCCTTGCATGCCCCCCTAGGTGTCTCCCACCAGCCAAGGAGCAGGCACAGAAAGGGAGAACCCACCCTCCACTGCTGTGCCTGGCCAGATGTTTCTCTTGTCTATCAGCTACTCCTAATAATGTCTGCTCTTTTCAGAAACCTGGTCTATTCTTTTAAGCTAACTGTTATCATTTACATATAGAGTTTTCTATTTCTATTGAATATTATCCAATTTATTACTTATCTCAAGCTATGTCTGCTTCTTTCTCAGACCTGACAAAGGGTCTCTATGTCCAAAAGCTTGTCTAAAATCTCTCCTAACGATAGCTGTTCCAAAAAATATGTAAGCGCCCCAAAATATCTTTGCCTCTTGCATAAACAGATCACCATCCCTAAAAGAAAGCATGACGATTAGGAGTGCACCAATAGAGATTTTGGGGGCCAATACCGATAGCTGATATTTAAGGAGGCATATTGGCCAATACTGATCTGATTGCTGATACATCTGCCTCCAGCTGGTAAGTCTGTTGTGGGGGCAGATCAACAACCCCTGCGGTGAAGGAGGGGACAGGCACTGCCCAGGCAGGGTGGGGGGGCCAGAGCCGCAGCTCGTGGGGGGCGGGGGAGAGGCAGCTCCCACTGCTGCTTGCACCCTGAGAGGGCATGGGGGAGGTGCATATGCCCCTAGATCTGCATGGGGTGGGGCGAGAACTGGGCTTGGAGTGGGTGCTGGGAGGATGCTGCATCCCAGCAGCACTGGGAATGGATACGGCAGCACTGGGAGTGGAGCAGGAAGAAATCAAAATAAAGATTTTTCTAGTGCATACAAATCATTAAAATGACCTCTGGCTCAGACCTTGGTAACTTCTCTTTTGACAAGATCCCAATCTATACTTATTACAATCATCAATAACTGTACATTGCACAGATAAAAAAAATTACCATGCGTCTTCCAGACTCCCAATTTTCCATAGTTTCTTTCAGATATGTGTTTTCAGGTTTGATAGTTTCGTAACTCAGTCCTAATAACTGGTGAAAGATTAAACACTAAGTTGAATGCAACAATTTCAATGACATAAATAGTGACTAGTTATGTAGAAGTTTGAATCTATAGTTTTATTTAAAGTATTCAAGAAAAATTATCAGTATATACTAATAATGAAAGCAATATTAAGACAGAAAAAGGTACTAGGTTCCGTATTAAAGATATATGTGCTAATTATTATTTTTTAAACCCATGTTAAAAAGAAGCACAACGTGGAGCAGGTACACAGCTGAGTTAATGGAGCATCAGTTGTGTGCACTACAACAGATCCTGCAGCCTGCTAAAATCGGGTTGAAGCCAGGGACCTGGCTCTTCTGTGTAATCCACTATGGTGGATGATATTGTAGGTAACATGGACCTTGTGAATAGTGGCATGTGGTAGTAGATGGTTTACACCACCTCTTAAGCACTTATTTACAATATTGAAGTGTTCTGTTAGATCACAGTGTTTCTACGTACAAGCAGATATGAGCGCTAAACCTCCAAATTTCAGGGGGGTTGCGCTTCTCACATATTTTCAACATACCAGTAATGGATAGGCCATATACATATTTTTAAACCTGAAGTTTGCAATGATTTACAACAGGACTTCAATTTCTGAGTAGTTAGGGGCCACAAGCCTCTTAGGCTAGGACAGAAGTTACAAAAACTGGTTTAAGTGATCAGAAACTGGTTTAAACCTGTAACAGAACAGAAGTTCAGTACACACAAACCAGTTTCAAAATGGCCAAAACCAGTTTGAGATAAACCTGATTGAATATAGTATCTGACTTAACTGATTGAGCTCGAACAGGTTTATGGAACTTGTATCCCAGAGCCCTTCCTCTGGTTTAAGTTAAACCAGAGTCCCCCAGCATCCTGACATGCTCTGCAGGCCTGGGCGGGGCTGTGCTTTCTGCTTCACTGGAGCAGGGCTGGCCCTGCCCCTCTGCTGTCTAGGGCAGGGGCAGCAGCATGGCCAGACACCACACCCCCTAAGGCAAAGGGGGCAGGGAAGAGGTTTATTCCTTCTTCCCTCCCTTCTCACCAGCATGGACCTGCCAGGCATTTCTCCACTGGCTACTCTAGCGGTGGGGGCATGGTCAGCCCTGGCAGTAGCCTCAAGTGAACTGGCCAGGGAGAGGGTTTAATTTCTACCTCCCTGTCCCACTGGCATGGACCAGAGCTGGGGTCCACCTGGCACTCCCCCCTAGCTGCTGCAGCGGTGGAGGCATGGCCAGAGGCTGGCTGGCATGGCTCCTGAGGCAGAGGGGACAGGGAGGGGATTTATTCCCCCCCATTCTGTCCCTACGGGATTGCAGCTGGGGATATGCCCATCCTGACCACCACTGTGACCAACTGCTTCTTGCACAGGGTGAGTGGCAGAATAAGCTCCATCTCTGCCCCCTCTGCCAGATGCTGGAGGGAGTGGGGAAATAACCCCTCTCCCTGCCCTCTCTCCTAAGAGGCCCATGCCAGCCAGCCTCTGGCCATGGTCCCACCCCTGATGCTGGAGTGGCAAGGAGGCAAGGATCCTGATGGGGGTGGCTGCCATTGTCATGGTTTCCTGGGGAGCGCAAGCCTCTTCTTGGTCGGGGGCTGTGTTGTGGATGGGAGCACAGCAGGGTGGAACAGGGCAGTCAGAGCTACTGCTAGCAGTGGCAGCACTAAGGAGGGCTTGGGGGGCTATGGCCACCCCTCCAAGCTCTGATGCTATTCCTCACTCTGTTCAGTCTGTGACAACTCTGACCGCCCCATCTTGCTCTGCTCCTGCCCACAGTGCAGCCCCCACAAAGAAGAGGCCTGTGCTCCCCAGGAAAGCATGACAGCAACTGCCACCCCCATCAAGCTCCCTGCCCCCTCACCACTCCAGCAGCAAGGGTGGGGGAGTGGCCAGAGGTCAGCCAGAATGGCCCCCTTAGGCAAGTGGGTAGAGAAGGGGGTAATTTCCTCCCTCCCTCTGGCATCTGGCAGAGGTAGCAGGAAAGAAGCTTATCCCACCACTTGTGCTGCACAGGCAGCGATTGGCAGCAGTGGTGGTTGGGGTGGACAGACCCCAGCTGGATTCTCATGGGGACAGAAGGGGTCGAGGGGGGAATAAATCCCCTCCCTACCCCTCTGCCTTAGTGGGCCATGCTGGGCAGCCTCTGGCCATGCCCCCACTCCTGCTGCTGCACCCTGACTGGGACCTTGGGGGTACCGATTAGACTCCTCATTTACAATACTGATAGGTTAAAAATCCAGCTTTAAAGCTGATAATTTAATTTCCAGTCTGAACATTTTTAAACAAAAACGTAAAGAACTGTGAAAAGTAAGCAAAGCTTGATAATGTAATAAAAAATGGAATGATACTAGGTACATCTACATGTGCAAATGCTACTGCATGGGTTTATTCTGCTGTAATTTACTGAGGAGTAAACCCACCCTGGAGAGGTGTCTACACATGCAGGCATTTGGGAGCAGATTTGCTCCCAATGGGAGAAGCCCAGAGAGGGGTGCTTCCACCTTGCTCTGTCCCCTGCAGCAGCCAGGGGGAGCCCCAGGCTCCCCCTTGGTACTACCCCAGGGGCTAGCAGGGAGCACAAGGCCAGGAGATAGCTGATTCTCAGCAGGGGCTGGGAGATTGCTCCCTGCCCCTGGGAGCTGCCTGCTGCCAGGGTGGGCTTTGATGGTGGAGCCCCTGCCGGGACAATGTCCACCTGCCCCAGCAGCAGGAAGCTCCCAGCCCCAGCTTCGCAGTTGGGGGTAGGGGGCTGGGAAAAAGCTGCAGGGGAGGGGCAGGGCCCAGCCC